CAGGCCTCCGCCTTCTCCCCGCCGGCCCCCATCCGCGCCCGCTTCTGCAGCCCCCGCGCGCCCGCCGCAGCCGGCCCGCCCAAGGTCACCAGACCCAGCCTAAGTGCGGGCTTCTGATCCCTGGCTTTCGCCGATCGCACCCTGGTCCGGGAGCCCCCGGGGCGCGCTTGGTGACTCTGGCTCCGGCCCTGGTTCAGAAAAAGACCTGTGGCCAGGAGTGGATGAAGACTTTTGTTTTGAAAGCCCTGAAAACAAAGTTTATGGTGTTTTCCCTTAGATTTGTTCTCGAAAACAAAAACAATTAGAAACTCAAAGACTTAGGAATTTTCCTCCTTTGTTAAAATTATATTAAAATGTTTTTCAAAACTTGTGTGTGTCCATGCCAAGCTCTTTTCTGTTTTCAGGCTCTTGTGCCCCCGCCCAGTATTCTTCAGAGCCACATCTGTGCCTTGAGACTTGTTTGGAGCCAAGATAAACTCTGTTGTGGTTTAGGAGGCTATTAGCCAGGCTGGGACCAGAACCATTTAGAACATTTTTATGTGAAGATGTAATCTAAAGTTTCCATTGATCACTTTGCCATCACCCCTTCAGAACTGGCTTAAAGAGCGCCATGGAAGGGTGAGTGGGGAAAAATAGGCCAAAATTATGTCTTTTCTGCAAGAGATTGACCTCTGTTGGGGACCATGAGACTGAGGATATGGGTAAGAAGGTATCACATTTTAGGAGTGCTTATGCTGAATTGGGATAGGAGGAACGCATGAGATAAAATCCAAGCAGGGGAAATCATATGATAACTGATTATGGTATGTGCCTTCCACCATGATCTTCTGTTGGCTTTGGGATGTCAGAGAATGAATTTCTCTTGGTGGTGCCTTAATCTTGGCTTTTCTTTATATGAATGGGAATCTCAAATCTGAAGGACTTGCTTTGATATTTAAAGTGTCTGTTTAAACAGTAATACATGTCTTTCCTACAATAGCTTGTTTACAAAGCTCTTTCACACACAGTCTCTTCTATGCATTCTACAAGCTCTTCTCTGTCTAAAATTCTCTTGGATTCTGATACCACTCTCTCCTGGTTTTGGTTCCAGTTCCTTGACCTTTCAGTTGTAAGATTCTTTCCCCCTATCCACTCATAATCTGGTGTTGCCAGGGTTGGAACAAGCACCATTACTGTATGTATTCCCTGGGAGACTACAGTGCACCCACTTTTTCCTTTGGGAATACAGTTGGCCCTCCATATCCAGATTCAGTATTGGTGGACTCAGCCAACCACAGAATCTGGTTACTGAGGGCTGGCTGTATTACATTATTCTATATAAGGGACTTGAGCATCTGCTGATTTCAGTATCTGTGAAAGTCCTGGAACCAATTCCCTACAGGTGTCAAGGGACAGCTGTATGTATGTGTGCAGATGATTTGTGAATCTTTATTCTCCAGTTTGACCACTTCTTGGATCTTCATATTCATATTCAGCTGATTGCTGGACATCTCCATCTATATGTCCCAGACACCTTGAGCTCAAAATGTGTCCAAATCCGAACTCATCTCCAGTGTTCCACTGCTTTTCCTGCAATTCTTTTTTTCATAAATGAAGCCCCATACCTGGAAATCAATTTCCATTTCTTCCACTCCCACACATCCAATCACCAACTCCTGCCTATTTAATCATTTAGATGCTTCAGTTTCATCCTCTCTTCACTCTACTCCTAGTGCTACTGCCCTAATTCTGACCTGTAGTATGTCTCACTTGGGCCATTACAATTCCTTCATACCAGGTTTCCATGCTACCCATGTTGATACCTGCATCTCCTGCCCCTTTTCTACCTAGCCTCCTACTGAAGACCTGGCTGACTTACCTCTCCATTAGTCTTATGTTGGACTTTCTACTTTCCATCTAATTTTTCCCCTTTCTCATCATCTGTCCTGGAATACAACATGACTCTGGTTGCCAACCTGCAACCATGTGGTGACCTTAAAGATTAAAGGCTAAGAATGGCAGAACGGGAAGGTGGAAAGAACCTGGAAAGTTGACACCATTGGGCCACCATCAGCCCTGAACTAGTTACCTCTGACTTTTCACAAGAGAAAAAAAATCCCTAAGTTGTTTCAGCTAGTGTTTATTTACTTATCTATCTCATCCTGATACATCAAGCTTTAGATAAATGAGTAAAAGAGGTAGTGTTCTGAAGGGAACTGGTATAATGGGCTTCACTCCACCAAAAGCATACTCTGACCTACCGTTAGATCCCTCTTCTGTGTAAATACAAACTCTTGCTAATGAAATAAAACACCTGAGGTTGTTATCAACTAGTCAATCACACCTTAGTATGAACTAGAGCCCATTCATTCAACATATTAAGAGACCATGGATTTTGAGGAATAAGCTTGAAGCATTCTGAGGAGCAAGGACTGGCTGGGGTGGCAGAAGAGATTTGGGGCACCATGACTACGCTGAGAACTGAGAGAAAGAAGAAGCCCTTTCAAAAAGAAAGATGCAAAGAATGGCAAGAGATCCTGGGGCCAGTTTTAACTTCCAACTAGTTTTAAATTACTGCTTTATTGGGAAAGTTTGTTTTTCAAACAACCAGTGGGTTGATTTAAGAAAAAAGAGACAGGCATAACAGAAGGATTTGGTAGCCTAATGCTCTATTTAAAAATTAAGCAGGAAAAACTACTTACTCAATTTCAGAACATTTTGACATGTGGCAATATGAAAGGCTAAATTTGCCTTCATGGCCCCTGAGGACAGCTGTTAATCCTATCTGTATCTCCCTCTTCCTACAGTTTTCCCTATAAAAAAAAACTGTTCTTGGGGGAAATGGAAGGTAGAGTACAAACAGGGTGTAGTCAAAGCCAGGAAATGATTTTGAATGGGCCTCTGGCAATAGGCCAATGAGTTTTGATCTCATCTGCCATTTTAAGAGCAACGGCTTATTAATACTGGTTTATGGAAAATAGGCATTTACAAAAAATATAGGATAGGAACCAAAATTTGTTTGCAAAATGTGAGTTTTTGACACTTGGAGGATTTCATTCCAAGTTCTCAGTTATATAATTACAAAAAAATCCATGTTTCAGGAAAACATAATCTTTAACATAAAATTCATGTCACTTATCACAAAGTTAAGACGGTCAAGTATATAAAGGGGAAACAAAACAGAAGCAGTATTTACAAATTTAGACATGTGACACTGTGAAGAGTTCTTTTGTTAATAACAATACATATTTTTACACACTACATTTCAAAAATGATGCATCTGTGAACAATATGATAAAGGTCATAGTACCGAAGACTAAATTAATTCAAGGTTGTCGTGTTGAAGATTTTAAATTAAAATCAAGGCTGGCAGAGTTGATGACTAAATTCAAGGTCAAAGTCACACTGTTCAACTTTAAATTCAAGGTTGTTGTGATGAAAACTCTAAATTCAAGGACAGATTGTCTAAGAAAGGACAATTAGCATTCAAGCTATTTAGTCAATTAGTTCCCTGTGAGTACAAAATATATAAGGAATCACTAAATGGATTAGCCTAATTACAAATTCTGTTCATTTCTAAGTAACTTATGCTATAAATCTTTTCACAGAATCATTCAGTCACATAGTTTCTCTTTATCCTTGTGTAGGCATTTCTGCTTCACTTAAAATCCTTATTCGAAACAATTTCCCTCCCAGTAACTTTTTTTTCATAAGTATAAAATATTTTAAAACAAGGAACTGTCTGTTCCTTAGCTAGAGAACTGTTCTCCCATTGCCTTCTAGAAGACAGGAAAAAAAGAAGACTCCCATTTCCTCCTCCACCTCAAAAACACAAAGCAAACCCAAACAATCCAGTTCCTAAGGTAGCGTTCGCATAGAACCCAGGGCCTGGCACAATATTTCATGCTAGCTTCCTGCTATGAGCTGAGAACAATTTAGTTATTTACATTATTGAGAAATCTGTTTAACCGACTGGGTTCATCCCAGCGCTTCCATTGGCAGAGGATCGCTAAAAAAGGCGAGAGCAGCGGCGTCTCCGAATGGGAACATCAAAGACTCTCCTCCGTCTCTCCTCCTCCTCATCTTCATCTGATTCGTCCATATCTGCCGAATCGTCATCGTCTTCCTCCTCCTCCTCTTCTTCTTCCTCTTCCATCTCTTCATATTCATCGGGACCCATTTCCTTGAAAGAGAAAACAATCTTTTGATAAGAACTTCCATCTGTTTTTTATATTTATTTAATGCAAATTCTCATTTACCTAGAATCTAAACAACTGGACGTGCCAAATATGAATTTTTTATACTTTTATAGAATATTACAGACTTTTATACATTTTCATAATGCACATGCTGACACAAGATTCTGGACTATATATTCTATTAAAAATGTTCTATGTGGTTTTAATGGTAAATATATTTCATCAATATAGTACTTATTTCCTACATGGTGGTTGAATTCATACAAGGTAGCGAACAGACCACTCCTAACAACCCAATATGAAATTTTAATGAATTTATTAATGTGTTAAGTAACAATTCTTTATTAACCTACATGCTTACAAAAAAGATGTGAAAAGATTGATAAAGTGTGACCTCTACTGGTAACTTTTATGTACTGTCAACAAGAGGTCTAAGATTGCTATTTAACTCCTACTATAAGGAAATAACATTTCAACTCAACCACCATAGGTAGCCTCTACTCTTAAATTAACCTGTCGAAGTCTCTCAGAATAAGGCAGTAGTGACATTGAACATCAAATATCTGAATATCTCTTAGAAACTTCAATTCCTTTTAAGCAGTGTCTCTAATCAAGTCTTGACTTACTCTGCTGTCAGTTTTCTCTCTTATACATTTGAAGACTCAGTGAAAGGGTTGCCATATTGGACAGAATTCTGAACAGCTGGTAATGTAGGAAAGTATTGGGAAACTTGGGATGTGATGGCAGCAAAAATCCTTCCACCAAGGCTTTTCTGGCATTGCATGTACAGCACCCCACAGCCCTGTGATCTTGTCTCTAGCCACTCTCCTTCTCCAGCCACACTGGCCTCCTTGCAGTTCTTCAGACCTACCAAGCACACTGGTGCTTCAGGACCTCTGTAGTGGCTGTCCTTTTGCTTGGAACACCCTTCAATCACACATCCACCCTGCTGTCTCTGCTTCTTTCAAGGTTGAACTCAAATGTCACCAAGGCCTTCCCTGACACATCTTTATATCAGAACAAGCCAACAGGACACTCCTCAGCCCCTTTACCCTGCTTTTTCTCCAGAGCACTTGTTACCACTTGATGTAAGTAGAGTGTGTATTTGTTACACTTTGTCTCTTCCAACTAGAATGTGAATTCCAAGCCAGAGATTTTTTTTTTAATTTCCTCAACTTTCTTCTTCTTTTATTTTTTATTTTTATTGAGGTATAATTGACATACAACATTATATCAATTTCAGGTGTACAACAATGATTTGATATTTGTATACATTACAAAATGATCACTACAATAAATCTAGTTAACATCCGTCACCATACATAGTTACAGAGCTTTTTTCTTATATTGAGAATGTTAGGATTTACTCTCTTAGCAACTTCCAAATATGCAGTACAGTATTATTAACCATAGTTGCTATGCAATACATTACATCCCTGAAGGTCAAGATTTTGACTGTATCATTCATTGCATTTTCCTCAGCACCTAGTAGGTACTCAATAAATATTTGTTGAGCCAGCAAATTAATTAATATGGTAGAAAAGAATTGCCCTTTAAATTTGTCAAAGGAATCATCACTTAGGATTTATTATAACACTAATAATAATTATAGAAAATATACATAAATACAACATTTCATTATTTTTTATCTTTTGATTTTTTTTAATCTAGGAAATGAAAACTTTAAAATTCAGTAGAAGGTCCAAAAAGGGGAGAGAGTTAAGGCTTAGGAAATTCTGAAACATTAAATCCAGGTAGTATGAATTATCGTAATGGAGAAAAAATCAAAAACTGTTAAAGAAATCAGTGTAGCTAAAGAGGGGGACTGCTAATGACCTCAGACAAAAGCGTACATACACAAACAGCAGATGGAAAGAGGAAAACACGGACACGAATGGAAATAAATAAGCAGCAGGAGCCTCTAAAGTGTCCAAAAGCAAACCACCTAGACCAAGAAAAGGCTCAAGACCAACCAAAAGAAAATTTTATAGCAGCATTCAAAGTATAAAGCAAAAGGAAGTATTAAGTACGATAATATACGGTTAGAAGACAAATATGGAGAACAACTCAGCTTCCATATCAAGAAAACTAATTTTTAAACAGGAAAGGTACAATACAAACACAACACAATACAAACACAATCCCCACTGCCTCTTTCATGTTGATTAGAAGTAAGTTCAGAATTCTCATTTCATTGATTTCTCATCTTTGACAGAGAGAAAATATTTCCCACAAAGCAGATCAAGATTTTATATGCTTATTTGGGATTGGGGGGAAACTAAAACTCTAAGTAAGAACATAATTAACAGAGGGTTGAACATGGAATGAGTTTATTATTATAATTTGAAATTATAAATTTAAGAATTTAAAACTTTAAAAAAGGGGTAAATGTTATAAAAGTTCTCAGTTTTAATTTCTAACATGATAAATACCATATAACCCACATAAGCAAGAGTTCTTTGGAGTCCTTAACAACTTATAAGACCTTAAGGGGATCATGAGACAGAAAAATCTGAGAACTACTGTCTGTAAGTAAAGACTACTTTATACCTACCCTAACAAACATTAAAAACAAGCCTCAACAGGATCAAGCTGACCCAACAGAAACTTAACTGCACAAACTGCCTCTGTCAACACTCTTTACACTTTAGGTCAGGAATATTGGCAACTTTAGGACAAAGAATATTGGCAGAGATAGAGATTTTATAACAATAAAGAAGCACTTCATTAAAAAGATATAACAATCCTAAACATATTTACATGTAACTATAGAACTTCAAAATACATGAAGAATTAAAAAGAAATAGACAAAACTGTAATTATAGTTGGAGATTACAACAATCGTCTCTCAGAGAACAAACACACAAAAGAAATCAGTAAGTATACGTAAGACTTGAAAAACAGTGAGCCAATTTAACCTGCCATTTATAGAATAATACTCTCCCAAATATCAGAATATACATTCTTTTCAAATATACAAAGATCATTGATCAAGGTAGACCATAATGCTGGGCCATAAAACATTTAAAAAGGCTGAAATTACACACAGCAAGTTCTCTAACCATAACAAAATTAGAAATCAATAACCAAAAGGTAACTAGAAAAACTCCAAATGTTTGGAAATTAATACATTTCTAGAAGTCATTGATCAAAATTAAATTACAAGGAAAATCTGAGAATATTTTGAATCAAGTATCAATGAAAACACATTAAAATTTGTGAAATGCAGTTCACACAGTGCTTAGATCTAAAATCAATAATCTAAAATTCTACCTTAAGAAGTTAAAAAAAAAAAAAGCAAATTTAACCCAAAGTAAGTAGGAGAGAAATGAAGAAAACTCCAGAAATCAATGAAATAGAAAGTGAGCAAATAGAGAAAATCAGTGAAACGAAAAGTTGTTCCTTTGAAAGATCAATGAAAGTAATAACCCCTTGGCTAAACTGATTAACAAAAGAGAAGATATAAATCACAATATTAAGAATAAAACAGGACACATGACTATAGCTCTTACAGCTGTTAAAAGGATATCAAAGGAATATTATGAATAGCTTTATGGAAATAAAAATCAACATTTGACAAAATGGACAAATTCCTTGAAAGACACAAATTACCAAAAGTGAAACAAGAAACAGAATATGTGAATATTGAATAAATGAAATTCATATTTCAAAACTTTTGCACAAAGAGAGCTCCAGCCCTAGATAACTTCATTGATAAATCATATCGAACATTTAAGGATAAGATGATACCAATCTCATACAGAAACTGGGCTAGGCAAAAATGGAAGACTGTTTTAGGAAGTAGCAAATTCACAGTACTGGAAATATACAGTAGAAAGCAAGCCTTCACTGGGAGGGAAGCTAAAGTTCACTTCCAAACCCAGGCTGGAGGTTCTTTTCACCAGAAATACAAGCATAGTGGGCTAAAGTCTCCTCCTCATCCTTCTCTTCCAAACTGGAGTTAGGAATGCAGCAGCTCTAAGTCAGGTTAATGCCATGTCTACCTTCCCAGACTGATTTCAGACCTGCCCATCAGGGTCATCCCAGGAGCCAGAGATCTTTTTCTGAACATTTGACACCTACGACTTGATTACACTGGAGCTTCATAATTTTCTTTTATCATTTTATAGCCTGTAAGATTGGGGTTACTGCTATACCTGCCATAACCCTAAAAATGAGATTTTAAAAACATAATAGTTGACTTAGGAAATGATCCCAAAGAGAGACTACTAAAAGTACAAGTCTACCCATTAAATCCTCTTTGTAATAATTATATAGGGTATTTGTATTATTTTACAAAATTGGGAGTTTTAGCGAAAACACTGTAAGAAATTGTTTCTCCAGTCTTAATGAAATAAAATAAAGGCAATTCTAACTGGTCTAGTGTGGTGATTCTCATTAGGCAACAAAACTGTCTTTGGAAACTGGAAAAGACACTGAACCTTTAAAACCAATAACTACTTTATATGACATCATAATGGTGGACACATGTCATTATATATTCATCTAAACTCATAGAATGTACACTGAGAGTGAACCCTAATGTAAACTATGGACTTTGGGTGATAATAATGTGTCAGCATAGGTTCATCAATTGTAACAGAGGTACCACTCTGGTGGGCGATGCTGATAACTGGGGAGTCTATGCATGTGTTGAGGCAGGGGCTATATCGAAATCTCTGTACCTTCTGTTCAATTTTGCTGTGAATCTGAAACTGCTCTAAAAGATAACGTCTATTTAAAACAAACAACAAACAAACAACAACAACAACACAAAAACATAATAGGAGAGTTACTCTGATGGAAGAATATGGGGCCTAGTTTACTTACTGTCCACCTCCCCAGCATATTCACATATCCCTTCTGCTCCCCTCCAAGATACTTCCCTCAAAATCTCTAGGGTTCTCTGGAATATCATTTACAAACTATCTGTCTGGCTAATCAACAAAGATCCTCTATTGAGTTAATTCTACAAAGTCATGTAAATCAGCACCAGAGGAAAATTTAACCTACCAATCGAGCTATAGACACCCTGAATGTCGGACAAGCCATATGGAATCGGGGAATGGCGACATTAAAGATCTTGTCTTTAAAGTAAAGAAAGTGGAAGGTATAATATCCTTCCATATATCCTGATGTTGTAGAGAATGTGGTACAACTTGTGTATTCATATACACGGCCAGGGCTGATGATTGGAAATTCACCTGCAGAGAAAACAGTAACAATAAACCAAAGTATAAAATTTAGTTCTTCATTATAGCGAATAAGATGTGTCCTCTTTAAACTATATTAAAGTAAGTGCATAATTAGGGAAAAAGTCTAAAAGAAAATATAACAAAATATTAACAGTGATGGGATTATGAGTATTTTGACATTTTTTTGTACTCCCCTAATTCCCTATAGTATGTGTGGGGGTTGGGGGATGACATCTATTAGAATAAAACACAAAAAAGGAGAGGCACTGAAGACAGCATCTTTAAGAGATGGGAATAAAAAGTATCACAGACACTAGTTCAAACAGAGATAAGGATACTCTAAATGTTTAAAAGTAGCAAGAGACTGAGACATAAAACTCTGAAGGCGCATCTTAAGCATTTAGCCCAGACAAAATGGTAGTCACAAGGGAGAGTTCTTCCACCAATGGACCAAATGACAGAAAAAGAATTACAGCTTTAAAAAAGTTCTTTCAATAAATCCAGGAAAAATTCCTTAAATAGACATGCAGAATATGAATCTATTTGTGGCAATTAATTAGAACAACTTTAATTTAACCTGAATTTTATATGTGCTTAGGATAAATAGCAGAAGTACATAATTTAAATAGTATCACTTTCCTGCAGCACACACATAAAACCTGAAAAATCTGAGGGCTCAGAAACTTATGATAATCATAATTTCTTAAAAAGCCAAATGCCAGTGGTAATCAGAGGCTTAGAGATGACTGGAATCAACAAACAGTAAAAATCTGTGCTATTAATTTTAACATTTCCGTTGAAGTTTCAAAAAGATAGCCAACATGAAATTTATTTTCTTTCTGCCCTAGGCCTTATAACCCTATAGAATATGATAATAAATAATTTATCTAGACAAAAAAATTAAGTTGAGAAGAAAAAGCAAGGAGCCCATGTGATCCACAGAATGGAAATTCAATCCCTGAATAACTGTTTGCTATGATTTTAGAAAAGTTCACGTTTAAGGAACTAAACTGGTAAAATAATGACCTTTACACATTGTATTTATGAAGCAAAGTATTGTAGTTAAGAGAATCCAGAATCTATTATCTTTCATATTAAAACACAGCTATTAAAAAGATGCAGTCCTATCCACTAACTACATCACACATTTGCGAAGCTATGCTTCGCATATATACTCTCCAAAATGTCTGAGAAGCAACTGATGTATAAACCCAAATCTTGGGTTACATACCAACGACTCCAGGTCCTTGAACTTCTTCCACATCACCTTTAGCATTTGTTATTCTCCAATAGCGACTGTCTAACTGACAAGCCTTCTCAGGAAGTGCATCTTTTGACATTTCAATCCTGGAGAAGAGAACAGGGTGGTAGAGACACATTGGTTTCTTCTATTTAAGAACTATGGTATTTGGGCTAAGATTTTGTAAGGAATTTCCAAAGGAAATTAAGAAACCAACCTAAAGTCTGTGTGAATCATCTATCTATTCCTGTAAGGTCTCAAAGATACTGACCTGATTAGCTTGACTTCCCCCAGAGAAATGTTTTCATTCAATTTACACACTTGACTTTCAGTTACGGTCAACAACAGAAAGGGCAGAATAAAAATTTACAAACACAATGGTGACAATAATCTTTTCTATTCAAATAAAGATCAGTGTAGGAAATGCTTTCTAGAATATAGGGCCAAGAAAAACTTCTGTTCTAAAAAAAGGAGAGCCTTTTTTTCACTACAAGGCTATGCAACCCATTTTTTTCTTTTTTCCATTAGCTTCCAGAAAGTTCAAAGCAAAATGTCACTATTTAGGGCACCCACTATTCAGTTACTGGGATTATATTTTGACTCTATTGACTATTGACTATTATTTCCCCCCTTTCTCTGAGAACTTGCTGACTCTTGTTTTCGAGTACCTTAAAAGCATGTGTATGTGTTACTATTTTAAGCATATCTCAATCCTAGGCAGGATCTAAATTAAACAATTAAAACAACAAATGTCTGTACATGTGTAACTGGACATATCAAAGGCTGCATCCAATACCCAAAATCCTAGAATGCTTCCTGATCATTACTATTATTTCCAGTATGTATATATGCAAGTATATGTATTTTTAAAATACATACATCATAAAATATTTTAAAATATATCTAAAAACAAAGCATTCTTAATCCCTTAGAGCAATGAGTTGTCTTTATCTCATAGTACAGTGTACTTTTAATTAAAATGAATTTAACATCTGTTTTTTATTTAACCAAATCCAGTGCTTAACACGATGCCTAGTATACAGGCTGCACTTGATAAATAATTATTAGACTTTTAACTGGCAAGATAAAACTTAAATGCATGTTTTTTTTTAACA